AAAAAAAAAATCTAGCTGTTTGACCAGATTTTGGCAATTTCCAGAGTGATTTCCTATCCTAGGCTGTCAATTATCCTGGCTCTATTTTTTTTTTCATTTTTCTTTACCCGCTTATTTTCTTAATTATTTTATCCCCCACTAGCATTCCCATGAGGAGAATTACAACAAATTTATTTACTTGAGAACACTGAAAAAGGTTTTGGTAGAGAATGCCTTGACAATGGTTGCTGAAATATAGTTGAATTTTTAGAAGATTTAAAATAAATATACTATTCCTGCCATCATTGTTATGTTAAAAGATGGTCTTCCTTTCATGCATTTAATTAGTCTCACCTGTAGCAGTACAGTACAATTACTACAGGGTGACTCAGATTTGGTTTTTATAGAATGAAATAAAATGTTCTGTAATTCAAGGCAAATTTCCTCTGGTAGATAGAAAGATTGAAGGGAAAATTATGAGTCAATCATATTAGAAGTTCAAGTTCAATCTCATTAGTGAAAATGCAGATTAAAATATGATATTTTAATAATGTATTAAAGTGAAAAAGAAGATAAAAATTATCATTCTCAATGGTTATGAACGATATAGTGATATAAGATTATTTATGTTCCTCCTATGAAGTTATGCATTTGAAAGGAATTTATATCAGGAGTCTGAAAAAAGTGAACACCTTTGTCTTAATTTGGGATTCTAGTCTAAGAAAATAATCAATGATGTGAACATTTATATTTACTGAAGCATTATTTATAATATAAAAGCTAAAGACTATTTATAAATCTTATAAAAAGAAAATGATAGTATATTCATAAAATGGTATATTGTACAGCCACTAAAAATTATGTAGGATTTAATAATTAAAGAGAATTTAATTAATTTGGGGAAATGTTCTTGATAGATAGATTTCAATTTGGTCCCTATAACAAAACAATATCCTAGTCAGATGTTTGTTTCTATATTTTTTGCTACAGTTATTAATTTATTCTGCTACATAAATTCTAAAACATTAACAATTTTATAAATAACAGATGATCCAAGTTATGGCAATTTCACAGTGTATACCATAGTAGTCATAAGTAATGTATTCTTGGTGTCATACTTAAATAATAATTATTATGGATAATAACCATCAGATGACAAGTATAAAATACATTTATAGTCCTAAGTAAAGGAAATGAGAGAAAATTCTAGACAAACATTAAGTTTCTAAAACAATTCAGTAGGATAGTGTTAATAATCACATGCTTTCTATGATTTTGGTATAGCTATAGCCCAATAACTGGCTAAAGCCCACCGGTTATTTGATGTTTATTAATGGTTGGCAGACAAACAAATCATTTCTATGAGAACTCCAGTAATCTTTCTTTAATTTCTGATTTTGGAGCTATCTTCTTAATTGAAAACTCTTATTTTACTTTAAAAAAAAGGATTAAACAGGCTTCTTTCTTGGTATAGTTGCTTTGGGATACTATTTGGCAGCATCTACTAAAAGGGAACACATGCTTGCCCTGTGATCATCAATTCCATTCCTGGATATATACCTACCAGAGATGTGTACATATCTGCACCAAAAGCCATGCACAGAAATGAGGCGGCAAAAATTCATAATAACCCCAAGTTGGAAGTTACCTAAATGTTCCCAACGGTGGAATGGATAAAAACTTTGTGGTATAGTATTAGGACAAATAAAAATAAGAGGCTTTATTCTCCATGTTGAAAATAAGGAGAGAGATTTCCTTTCACTCCTTTAGAGCATTTAATTTAGAAAATCTAAAATTATAAGTACTTTCTCCTCTCTTTGAAATGTATATGAACCCTTTAGAAAACTAGTCAGGGCTTTGTCAGTTCTGTCCCAGCAATGTCTTTCTCAAAGACCTGGGAGCCCTTTCTTTGAAATGTAAACATCAAGGGAGCTAGCACACCGATCTCTGGGTTTCTGTGGAAGCATAGGAGCCTAGCTTCAGAGGGCTCCTCGCTCCAGTTTGCAGAACTGTCGTATAGACATGAAAAGTTTGGTTTTCCTCTGGATAAAACCAATTTGCTGACACAGATGGTCACCTCAATTGCCAGGTAATGTTAGGATAAACGAAGTGTGATGTAATGGGTTGTATCTGCTTGGATAATTAAGGGGGTGAGATTCTGTCTTTGCAGTCTCTCAGTGGATTGCCTATAATGCGCATCACATTCTTGTTTAATGCTGATTCAATAATAAAACTGTGGGGCTTTTTTCTCTGCTACCTTTGTGGAGAGAATCCCTGGGTTGGAAGAAGATTTGGTTTTTAATTATACTTCCCCAACAATAGTCACACAATGGAAAACTAACAAGGCAAGTAAACAAAACAGTGCACTACACAAAACAATATGCATGAATTTCACAAACATAATGTTAAGTGCAAGATGCCAGACAGAAGAGCACACACTGTGTGATTCCAATTATATAACGCTCTAAAACTGGCAAAACCAATCTATGATGTTGGAAGTCCCGACAGTGGTTACCTTGGGGGAGGGGGTTAGTGACTAGAATGGGACACCAGGGAGATTTCTGGGCTGTTAATGTTCTGTGTCTTGAGCTAGGTGCTAGTTACACAGGTTTGCTCACTTACGAAACTTCTTTGGGCAAATACTTCTGGTTTCTGCACATTTCTGTATGTATATTAATAATTTCAATAAAGGTTTTAAAATCTATTTTCTCTATTTACTCTTTGGTTCCAGAACTATACTTTTAAGATTATTGCAGTCATACATATGATTTTCATTGTTTTTAAATTAAAACGCTTTAACTAAAAAGAAAAGTCAGATTTTGTTTTCTATTAACATCTGGGTAAAAGGAATGTGATTTTCTTTAAATCTTAAGGGACTGGCCAGGCACAGTGGCTCACGCCTGTAATCCTAGCACTCTGGGAGGCCGAGGCGGGCGGATTGTTTGAGCTCAGGAGTTCGAAAGCAGCCTGAGCAAGAGCGAGATCCCGTCTCTACCAAAAATAGAAAGAAATTAATTGGACAGCTAAAAATATATAGAAAAAATTAGCCGGGCATGGTGGCGCATGTCTGTAGTCCCAGCTACTTGGGAGGCTGAGGCAGTAGGATTGCTTGAGCCCAGGAGTTTGAGGTTGCTGTGAGCTAGGCTGACACCACGGCACTCATTCTAGCCAGGGCAACAAAGTGAGACTCTGTCTCAAAAATAAATAAATAAATAAATAAATAAATAAATCTTAAGGGACTATAGCACAGTAATGAAGAAACAGATTTCATATCTTGGATAAGTTCTTATTTGATATAATAAGAGAAAATAAAGGATCAATAGTTATTTTTAAAGCACAGAATTGTTCTAATTTTTAAATCTTATATGAAAAATGTGTCTTTAAATGGCAGACCAAAGCAATTTTTTTCTCTACACTCTAGCAAATACCTAGATTTTAAACTAGTTAAGAGGATAACATTGTAGTGGCTATTGTTTTAACCAAGGTAAACTTTAAGACCTGCAGTGCAAAACAGAGCATCATTTACTGTGTGGCTATAATATGATTAGCACATAGTTAAGTGCTGTGTATATTTTGTGTATATTTCCTTTAAAAAATCCTTGCTTCACCTGAACTCAGAATCTAGGGAGAAAACCACACAGGTGTGCTTCATTAACTGATTTGTAATGCAAACAGCTGGGAACTTTTCTAAGCAAGGTCACCTAAAATTTTGTTTTCTTTATTTCAGTAATCCTTGCTAAACTTGAAAATTTCAGAACTGGAAGAAATAGAGAAGTAATCTAAACATTTTCAAATATCATAATACAAAAACGAAATTTAAACTCTATCGTCATGAATTTCTTCCTGAGAAATAAGCTACTTCGTCTCCCTCTATTTTCTTTCTCATTGGTAGACATCTGAAAATTTTTTGCCAAGCCAAAAGCATTGGCCTTACACCTTTATTATTAATAGTCTCCTATTCAAGCTTATAAAATATTAAATCTTACGAAAAATTTCTCAGTCTAAGAATATTCAAAATTTTAGACCTCTACTATGATAAATGAAAGGAATTCAATTCAGATTTGAGTGCGATTAACATTTCGGATTTCTAAAAAATAATTCTTACCTGTGAGTGATATATATTAAACTGAGTTTCGTTTGTGAGTATGAACAGTAAAGAAATGGAAGTATCTAGGTTCATATTGATCAAGAAGATCATAAAGGGCAAAGGTTGCAATCACTTTCTTTGTTCAAGAAGTAATTTCACATCACATTCTATAAAAAACATGTTTTAATACCAAACTAAAAATCATCTCTCTGATAAAATATCAAATGAAATTTTATTCTCTTATAGATTTACTTTAAGTTAGGTCCTAATTCCCTTACTTATTATAATAGTCAACAGGCAAAATGCTTTATATTAGGTATTTTATGTAAATAAGAATAACACAAAAGAAACTCTATTGCCACAAATAATCACAAGGTTTGGGATTTTTTTACCCTGCTACTTGACAAATTTTATATATGTGTGTATCAAAGTGTGAATTTGCAATTTTTGGAATGCAAGCTCACAGAGAGTAGAAGTCGTATCTTTTGGTGGTATTAACTACTGTTTCCATACCTCCACACGTTAACATATTTTGCAAATGATAAACAAAGGTAAATGTTTCCTCTTTTAGAATTACATTATATTCCTATATCTCAGTGAACAGTTTGTTGGCAGGCTGCATTTGGGCCCATCTGTTCAATTTCTAACCCTCTGATTTATTTCTGGTACAATGATTAATCAAGTTCATTTTAGGTAAGTGGCTGCAATGCTCACACCATTCTGAGACAACAACGGAAGCTATAAATGACTCTCTAATTTTCATGCATTTATTAGTATTAATTAGTATTTCCTTTACGTACCTTTTTGCTAAATTTTCTGATTTCTCTGAATTTTCAATAGACAGGACGAAAAGGTTAATAAACCAGGTCAGTGAATATTGGTACATGGGCTCAATGTTGGCCAAATCAGCAATAGAAAAAAACAGGATGGAGGAATGGATGGCAATGGGGCGATAGCCCATGCGTGTGGAGTCGATCTTTTTCTCTGTCTCTTCGGCTACTTCCTGCTTTTGAGAAATCTCATTAGCCAAAGCCTTGGAGGAAGATAATATCTTAATAGCAGTTTCATCTTCTAATATATTGCCTTCCGAAGATGAAAGCACTTCTAAAATCTTGTCTTCTATTTCTTTTAACTGCCTGGAATAAAACACAATTTTCTCAGAAGAAAAAGAAATCATTTAAAATCACTTCACGTATACGTTCTTTTATAAGAAACAAAGAGCTTGTAACCTAAAGAAATGCATCACTTTGTGACAAATATCCGTAACGATGATGTTGTATAATTAATTTCTTATCTTGCAAAATGTCACAAAGAGGGCCTTTCTGCTCCAGTTCCCTTTTTAATGATCATTTGTGTGGTAACTGGGGAGAAATACAGTCAGCCAATCTACTCTGCCATCAAGTGTCTCAGCTCAGAGTGAACAGAAAGGATCACTCCATTTATTTTCTGAAATTTTACATGACTTACGCAGCTTTACTCTTTCTACCTATGATATAGATGTTATGAGCAGAAAGTGGGAAGCAACATATTCATTCCTTTATACCATGCTCCAGTAAAAACAGGTTACCTCAGTTACACAATGAATACTAAAACTTTTGTGCTAAAACTTCATTGAATAGTTGAAAATACACTGCCTGGACCTGTGGCCAGCCTTCTGGTTCTCCCAGTGCCTAAGAACTTGCATTTAAAAATGTACTCAGCAATGCAATTTTCTAAATTAACATAGAGGCACTGTAATTCCTTACATTTTCTTCTTAAATTTTCCCATTTGGTGTACCTATTAAATTTAACAAAAAAGAACTTTAAAATGTACTTTAATTCATTCTAGTGATTGTGAAATAAATAAGAATAATTCTGTGTTTTATGATATTTAAAACCTTTTGTTTTCAGCTCCTTGTAATATCAAGGCTTGCTTTTCTTCTTCCAGGTCCGGCCTTTCTCGTGCCACCACAATTCCCAGAAGCTGATCCTGCATTCCCTCAGAAGTGATCATGAAGTTTAATAATGTCACCTATAAATGGAATGATAGACAAATATTGCATCATTATTTCTATTGGAAAAGTCTCTGCTCATATACATTAAGTTCCAACCTTAAAATAGACTCTATTTACTATATATGTGTGCGTGTGTGTGTGTGTGTGTGTGTGTATGGAATTTGTAGAAACTATGATTAAAGCATAAGGAAGCATGATTGTTGGATTAAAAATCCACTACAGTTTCTCATAGTCAGAAATGTAATACCTTAAAGGGTTTGTTTGGTAATCAATTTATTCTCATTTCAAACTGATCTAATTTTTGACAACTCTTTAACACCAAAAATCCATTAAAATTGGATTGGAAGCTATCTTTAATATTACATGGACTAGCTGATTTACATTTTAAGAATCCTAGTGGTGTCAAAAGTAAAGGAAATCTTACAAAGCAAGATAAGTGAAAAAAGAACACTAATTACTTGGCATGAGTAAAGTATTTTTACAATACAATAATCAGTCACTATTGTGAACTAAAGAATTTACATTTTAATGATGTTCATCGAGAGGCTGTCTGCTAACACCTGCTTCATCCAGGTACCTAATTGCTCTTACAGGCAAATCTTAAAATTCGCCCCCTCCTGGTTCTTTCCCATAAATCTGCAAATATGTCCAAGTCTCTTTTTTTTAAAAAAAAACGAACAACAAATAAATCATTCTATGGCTCCTACAATCCCTTCCAGCTATGGAATGATTTCTCTTTGTGCTTTCACAACTACACTTATTGAAAATGTTATTTGTATGTGTTTTCTGTCTCTACCTCATTTCATTACTTGGCCCTCTTACAGTCTGATCCCTGCCTGGCCTCTGCACATTCCGTCAATACACACAGCAATAAACCACACAAACTTTCTGGCTCTGGTCACCATAAGCCAATAAACACTGACTTGACCTTGGCTTCATTTGCAATCCTCACCGTTTTGTTTGTTCATCTGTTTTGCAGTCTGCCTGCCCTCATGTCTTGAGTGAAGGTCTGCATTTATGTCTTTTTTTTTTTTTGGAAGTCAGATGACTCTATTATGATGTATCAATAATTTTTTTATTTTTAATTAACTTTTATGGATACATAATAGTTGTATATATTGCACCTATGTCTTAAGCATCACCTCCCACTACTCTTTTTCATGTGCCTTTCACTTTGGCTACTCTGAACTGATTGTGGAATCCCATACTATGACACGCCTCCATGTGCTCCAATGTTTGTGCTACTTGGACAGACGCCCTTCCCCTTGTTATGCACCAGATCAACTCCTATTCATTTGTCAATGTGCAGATCAAGTGTTACCTCCTCTTGGACACTTTTCCAGAGAATGTGTTCTGCCCCCACCCCTTCCCAAGGCTTCTTCCTGTACTTCCTCATAGGGGCTCTAACCTCTTATAGCACACATCACACTGTATACAATCACCGGTTTACTCATCTCTCTCCTAGTCTGCAGTGAAAATAACTTTAGTACAGGGATCATCTTGTATTTGACTTTATGTCTCTACTGTCTGGCACAAAGTAATGCTCCCTAAAAAACTACTGAGTGAACAATCAGAATGTCAATATACCCTGTTCATGGAGTAGCTTTCTGCTACTTCTCTTTCCTAAAATTTTTGGCATTTGGTTATTTTCCAAGGCATTTCATATAAAATAATAGCCACTATGAATCAGGATTTATGCTACAAAGAAGAATAAGATATGGTGTGGTCACTGCCCTTAAGGAGTTTCAGTCGAGTAGGGCAAACAAAAGTGCAGACAACATCCAGGGGCGTAAGGCCCTAGTAGGAGGACAGAGGAAGGTCTCCCGACCTAGGTTTAGCAAATCAAGGAGGGCTTCCCCCAAGCAATGATGTACACGGTGATTAGCAGTTATTCATGAGAAAGAAGGCGGCAACATTACAGCCCAGGAGGTTTCCACCTTGGCTGCTTATTGGAATATCCCACGGAATCTAAAAACCAATAGTGTCTGGAGAGTTTGATTTAATTGGTCTGGAGTGTGGTCTGGGTACAGAGAGTTTTAAAAGCTGCCCAGGTGATTTTACTGTGCAGCTGGGATTGAGAATGGTAGCTCCTGGCAGACGAAACAGCGCAGGGAAAGCAGCAGAGGAACACAAAACACGTTTAGAGGAACACAGGCAATGCACGATCCCAACGCCAGACGGCGTGTAGGTAGACCCCAGTGAGTAGTCTTCATATGCCATTGGGGCATGGGGCGTGTACAACCAAAAATAAACATTTTCTATCATGTGTCTGAGGATTCGATACTCACAGCCATCATAAATATTAAAAATACTAGTTTCTTCCCCTTGAAAATACTACAAAAATTTCAGGAACTACCGTAAACCATCAGAGGCGACTCGGTATTTGCTCCGTTTTCATCACTTCTCTAAAAAAAGGAGATCGCTTAGTAGGAAATACTTTGCTAAGCCCAAGCAACACCACTGAACTCTATACATTAGTGAATATTTTGTCCAAGAGTTTTTAATATATTTTATATCACAACTTAGCCAGATGATAGCATCTAAAAAAATTGCCATTTTGACATACCCAAATCTGACAGGTTTTTTAATTAGAATTTTAAAGCAGAAGAATTAGGAGACAGGAAACAAAATAACCCAATGGGCAAACTACCTATATGTAGGTTATAATCAACCAAACATAACACATTCAGCTTATTAGAAGTATTTATTTGCATAGCACAAATGTTCTTGTTTTTATATTTTATTCCTTCCAAGACTCTGCTATGTGGGTTAGAAAAAGGTGCCATCTGCATGCAGACTGAGTCCCGCACCAGGCCAACACCTAAGAAGCTTGGGGCTAGATTTTAGCCCTATTTAATTCCACCTCTGTGCTATGTACAAACTGCACAACTATGGAAACAGCCGCTAGTCTCCCTCCTAAAGACAACACTATTTCCCTAGCAGCAAGAGATTAAAAAAAGAAGAGTAAAAATGTTATTTTTCTAATCTCAACAAGTTCTTTGGCACCTTTCTTTGGTGGTTTTGCCTGATTTGGAAATTGTCTGTGTTGCCAAGGCACAAAGGTTTTCCTTTCTTCCAAACTGAAAATAGGTAATGCTGTAACTGATGTTGCTGTCCTCTCTCTCTTTGGTCTTTGTCTTTTCCTGTGTATTCCCAGCTCTGGCTACTGCATAGGAGACGGTGTGTTTCCTTGCCCTTCCTTACATGAGAATATTTCCTCTGCAGGAACAGAGTAATTTTGCCTGTCTGGGGTCAGTAAGTGTAAAACAGCTCCTTGCAACACCCCTAGGAAGGCGATTCCCTCGTTTGGTGTAAACCTAGACACTTCCTCCATGGTGGGTCTCATTTAGGTTAAATTTTTCCCCCACTTCTCCCATAGTAGGCCTTTGAATATCACTAAGTATAGATTACATGGATATAATCATAAATTTAGATGAGATAATAAGCAATTCTTGAAATTGAGCAATTTGGAAAACTCATTAAATGTTATATATTTAATAATTCTCTACTGCTTTGGCATTTATTCATCTAAAACTATAATTACAGCTTTCAAGGGATTTGCCCTATTGGCATGAGGAACCAAGTGCACAGGTTCCATTTGCTTTAATCCAAAAACCATAGGCACAGTGTTAGCAAAATGCATGTTTTACAACTTTTACTTCATTGTGTTCAGACACAATGAGGTATTCATTCATATTCCATTAATTTTGGATCTTTTAAAATCTAGATTTTGCAAATCTAGCCATTTGTTCACAAATAAACATTTAAGATCATAAAATATGGCTTCATAATTTTATTTTCATTTAGACTCAAAAGGATTATAGCAGCATGGCACCATCCCTTGGGTGCTTTTGAAAGCAAAAGGTACATAAAAGATCCTAAAAATGGGATCGAGAGGAAGTATTCTAATTTGTAAATGAAAGCAAGTAACTGCCTCACTATGTTTTCTAATCCCTGTTTAATCAATTCCAGCAATTAAAAATAATGAAGCAATAAGACACTCTAGGGATCTTAAGGATTTTGATACTGAATCATAGATATTTCCTCCCCACAGCGTTTTATGACTTCTATTATAACCAGTTATTAGTGAACTAAGAATTGTGTGATATTTTCACATATTTTACTGAAAAGTAAAAAAGGTTTTCCATGTCATTTACTTAAAAACATTTTTTTCTAACACAGCTTTTATCATTTCGTTTTAGGCTTCTTTCTTTTTTTTTTTGAGACAGAGTCTCACTCTGTTGCCCTGGCTAGAGTGAGTGCCGTGGCGTCAGCCTAGCTCACAGCAACCTCAGTCTCCTCCTGCCTCAGCCTCCCAAGTAGCTGGGACTATAGGCATGTGCCACCATGCCCGGCTAATTTTTTCTATATATTTTTAGTTGTCCAATTAATTTCTTTCTATTTTTGGTAGAGACGGGGTCTCGCTCTTGCTCAGGCTGCTTTCGAACTCCTGAGCTCAAACAATCCGCCCGCCTCGGCCTCCCAGAGTGCTAGGATTACAGGCATGAGCCACCGCGCCTGGCCCTAGGCTTCTTTCTTTTTCACTTACATTTAAAATAGTTAAATAAAGCTAATAAATAACACTAATATAACACTACCTGTTGGGCCTTGTTCTAAGCATTTTACATAGATTAATTTATTTAGTCTTCACATCACTCTATGAAAGACACTTTTATTATTCCCATTTGACAGATGAGGGAATTAAGGCACAGAGAGGTTAATAACTTGCCCCAAATCACACACTTGGCAAATAATAGACCTGGGATTTGAACCAAGGTAGTGGCGACTGAATCTATGCTCTTAACTACTACTGGACATTCTTTCTCCTAACAGGTAAGTAGATAATAGATACTTTTTAGGTGTTTAGATAACATATTGTATTTTAATTAGTTAAAAACAATGGCCAAGAATTTCCATATTTTAACATTTTGTTTTTAAAATTAAGCTCAAGGGTCATCCCATTTTCCCCCAGTCTTCCTGGCATCCCTAAAAGTCCAGTCTAAGTGTCCTCAAACTCTGAGTTCCCAGGAAACTTCGTAGCTCCTGTCTTCCTAGTCATTGGTCACTCTGCATACACATTTATAATGTAAACCTCTTGAGAGCAGGGATCATGTTTATTCATCTTGGAAAGAATAAATTACACCATCTTAGTCCTTTCTCTGCCTCTCTGCAGAGAGAGGCCTATGTTAATTTAAATATTTCCAATAAAGAAGACCATTCGAACTCACTGGATAAATCTTGCCTCTATGTATAGCTTTCAAAATCTGAATAAGTATTTCTTAACATCCTCTCCTGCTTGATACTGTTAATGAAAGCAATCCTTCACTCACTCACTCATTCACTCACTCCACAAACATTTATTGAATGCCAACTAGTGCCAAGAATTAGGAATAAAAACAGAATAAGGTGCAGGCCCTAAAACCTCCAGGAGCTCAGCTGCAGATCAACATCTCAAGTCGTTTTAGTCATTGACTAAAACTTTGAGCCAACTTTACTCTTTAAGGGAATTTTTAGTACTTTAAAAGAACAGTGATTGAAAACAGTTCTTTTAAGTAATTATATAAAATCAGATAGCAGCAACCTTAGTCTTGGAAAGAATGAAGTTCTGTTTCTGAATTTCAATTCCAATAATTAGCATATTATCATTTGTTACAAAGAAAGAATGTGAATATGTCATCTATTTTTAACAATGAAAATCTAAGAATCATATCAGTTGTAGAAATTAGATTCTGATAGTCTTTTTTCACAGCATACTGAAGGCTCCTTTATGACTTACATGCACACACAAAAGCAACAGCTGGAAATTATTATAGCAATTTTAAGAAACACAAAAAAGGACAAAATCCATTTTTCTTAGGACGACTTCTTCTTTGGGCTCAGGAGGAAAATATAGTCACTTATTGTAAAACATGATAAAGAAACATTCATTTTAGATACTGGCCTTCACTGATGTTTCAGGAAGATAATGAGGATTTCTTAGCTTGGTAGTAATATAGAAGCGGAAGTCGGGCGCATATTCAATTGTAGAGTCACCAAGGCGGATACATGTACTCCCACCCTGTTTAAAGGTCTGCTTTAGTAGAAGAGGTTCCAAAATAGGATCTAGTTCTTCTCCAACATTTTCTAGCAACACTGGAGTAAAATCAGAAAAAGATTCCATGTTATTTTTAATATTGACTGTAAACAATCAACCCTCGGAGTTCTTTCAACCTTCAAGATTGCTTGTGTTCCTAGTTATTATTTTTGGCTTCTAAGTATAGGGAAATGATGCCATAAAAATAGTTGCATTCTGTGTGAAGGGTGTAACCGGTACATCTACCTGGTCATCCTGATTCTATACCCCTGAGCCATAGTCCTGCTGGCTGCCCCCCACCTGGTCTGGACACCTACTTCACTAGGTGTCCAAGCATGATGGCAGTGAAGTCTATCCATCTGAGACACCGGAGAAAAAGAATTTCTAGTTGTAGTTATTATAAATAATTACTTTATTTTTAATTATAAAAAATAACATACTTATGTAGAACATCTGGAAATATAGGAAAACCCATAAAGAGGAAATTGAAAACTAACCCCAATTAGAGGGAGATTAATCTCTCCTCTCCCTCAACATTTTACATAACTGACTCATACCATATATAGATTGGTAGAAAAATGACACAAAATATATGGTATGATAATTGTTAAATAAATTATTTTTCACTTCACTATTATTTATCTTTTTACACATACAGTTAAGCCTAAACAATACATTGAATTTTGCATCCTAATTATTTTGCTTGACTTATATTATAAATATTTCCCCATGTTATTAAAAGCTCTAATAAATATGCTTTTAATTACTGCATAATAGTCTATCATATTGTTCTCTCCTTTTTTTAATCAATGCTCTATTATTAGATATTTGTATTGTTTCCTGTTCTTAATATTATAGATAGCACTGTACAAAACTTTGCATTTCAGAATATTTTCTTCTGATAGCATTCTAGAGGGGGAAATCCCTGGGTCAAAGATTAGTGACACTGTTGAGGTTATTGATATACTTGCTGCGTGTAAGTCTTACATTTTGGTGTCTGGGCTGCTATCATCACCAAACTTGGATCATGGCATTTTGTAGGAGTCCCTGAATGGACGGTGTGTGCCATCTGGATGGGAAGGAAGGGGATGACTGGTATTTGGATCTCTATTGCAGTGAAATGCAGACATAGTCTGCTCCTTCCCACAGGTTAGTCCTGGCTAAATGAATTCTTAATTGTCTTCTTGTTGATTTCTTCCACTGCTGAGATCTTAGCCAAAGTCGGTATGTCAGATGATTTTTAAACTCATTTTCATTTTCTGCTTGCATAAAACGATTATTTTTCATGGTTAAATAATATGAGTGCATCATAATGTATTAAATACGTTAATCTTCTATTGTTTAGGTTGCTTCCATTTTTGCAGTTATTAATAATGCTACAATAATGAACATCTTTTTGAAAATTCCTTTGTATTCATCTCTGATTACTTAATCAGGCTGGAGTCTTAGACGTGGAATTAATGGTCAACAGTTACGAGCATTTTAAAAGCTTCTTACATTGTCACATTACTTGCCTGAAAAGCCATCGAGATTTCAGAGTTGCAACGAGCACTCATTTTGTTGTTTGTTTTTAAACCTATTTTTACAAAGTAACCCTGTACTTACACATGCTGGACACCATGCTGACATTGTGTTTTCTCATCACCCTCACAACTTTAAAAATACAGGCTATTTTTACCTCAGTTTTGCCGATGAATCAGGACGGGTAATTGAAGTACATTTTTCAGTTAAATCAACTAGTAAATGACAAAGCAGGGACTTAAACAAGGCAGTCTGGCTCCTTATAGTGCCCTCTTAACCACCATGGGATACTATCAGCATTAAATAATATATTTGTGACCTACAATTTGATAGGTTAAAAATACTGTTAGAATTTGTATTTGGGGCAAGGTGTTCTGGGCGTTTTTTGGCAAAATGTGATGCAGATTTGTTCCTCTACTCGTTCAGTCACTTAGAATGCAATGGCCACACAGTACACATGCTCACTCAACGGCATCTAGCGCCCACTGACTAGTACAGTGAGGTTGTCATTGTTCACACATGCGCATTCCAGTCCACTCTCCTTGGCTGCCAAGTTACACTGATGTCACACAAACTGTTCTCCTTAAATTAACAATGGCTGGAAACTTTCTGGACAGACCTTGTATTAACATATTAAGGTTTGTTCCAGAACTTAGTCCAGTTAATGCCAAACTTACTCTTCTGAATTTTCATTGGCTCTTTACTTTCTTTTCTCCTAGGTTTGCTTTAGTATTATTTTGTAAACGCTTATTTCTGAAAAAGTTGACATCATCACAACATACAGTTTTTCTATCAGAGAAAAAGAAACGTCTCAGGCAAGTCTTCTCTTGTTTTTCAGTAAAGCTTTGTCATTTTTCTCACCTTTTTTTTTTTTTTTTTTTTGAGGCAGGGTCTTACTCCATTTCCCTGGTGAATGCTGTGGCATCAGCCTAGCTCACAGCAACCTCAAACTCCTGGGCTCAAGCAATCCTTCTGCCTCAGCCTCCTGAGTAGCTGGGACTACAGGCATGCACCACCATGCCCGGCTAATTTTTTCTATATATATATATTTTTTTAGTTGTCCAGATCATTTCTTTCTATTTTTTGGTAGAGACGGGGTCTCGCTCTTGCTCAGGCTGATCTCGAACTCCTGACCTTGAGCGATCCACCCGCCTCGGCCTCCCAGAGTGCTAGGATTACAGGCGTGAGCTACCGCGCCCAGCCTCTCACTTTTTATTGTTAAAGTTATTCTAAGTTTTTTTTATTTTGTTTTGTTTTCTATTCACTGGTTGTCTAGAATCACTTTCCACTTATTTTGATTCTCATTTGTTATTAATTTAATATTCTTTTTGGAATATAAGTACTCCACTGAATTCTTTTATTCTAATACCTTTCAGAAGGTATTGTCTAGATGTGGTATAGTTGTCTAGATGAGGTATATTGTCTACTAATATAATTGTGCTTCCTCTTTTCCAAATGTTATAGCACCCTAATTATTTCTTGTCTTGTTCCATTGGAAAAAACATTCCTAACAATGTTAAACAATAATAGTGATATTCGATATCAATTTCTCATTTTCATTTTTACACGATCGTATTTTAAAAATCTAATTTACTAGACACTGACGAACTGCAATTCTGTTTAAGAAATATTATAACATTTAAGTTTTGCTTAATTGCCTCAACATTTATCAATTTTCATTTTTTGCATAAAATCTGATATTTAATGTTGGCTAAAAATATTTTGTTGTAAAATTTCATCCCCTAATCACTGTAATTTTTCCTAGTTTGAAATGTAATTAAGAGTGTCTATATTACTATATAAGTATCTTTTTTAGAAACTAAAATATACGTTATGAACCTTAAACATTACAAGCTTGATTCTTTTCCCCAAGAGTGAAAATTTATTGCCTCATTGGTAGAATCAAGTCTTGAGCCTGTCAGGAAAGATTTTTGTAGTGCCTTGATTTAAAAAAAAAAAAATATTCTCAGTATTGACTATCATAAGCCTCACTGGGAAATTAAAAGCATTTTAAACTTTAAAAGACAGAAAAAAAGAACAAAAACTTACAGGTACATGAATTACCCAGAATGCTATCCTTAATTTAACTATTTTATTTTGACTCTAACTTTTGACTCCTTATTTAACTTTAATTATATTGAAATATGTCCCATGTTAAAATTACAGGAGCAAATTCAGGAGACAGACTTCTCTTCATATTTCTATCATCAAGTTTAACAATATGCTGGTTTACGTAAAACTTCATTCCTCATTTCCAAGTGCCAGCACATTACAGTATTTGCAAAGCTTGTGGGAAACCAAGACTGGGAATCCAAGCACACAGCTGCTAATGTCTTTGAGAAAGGCAGATCATCATCTCACTCAAAACGAACAAACAGTTATCCTTAGCAACAGAAATATAAAGAGGATCATATGTTCTTTTCAAATTTCTTTTGCACATAAGACTTAAATAATATCAGTTTTTAAGTTATAAATTATCTACATTATCTTATATGAGACTTCAAATTAATAGGAAAAAAATCTTCCGCACATTATGTTCCACACTGCAGCATAATGTATTCAAAGTAGATTCAACAATTACTGAGCACCTATCAAGTGCCCTTAAGCAGCTTGTAGATGAGAAACGAACAGTCACATACATAAAATAAGGGCAACAGAAGAAATTCATGCAAGTTTCAGTGTTGGCACTTCATTGGAAGAGTCAAGATGTCACAGAAAAAGAGGTATTTGAACTGTATCTTAAAAGATGAAATTTAAAGGGATTCGCCAGATGGATGGAAGAGTAGACATAAGCTAAGAGGCTGAAACAATGCCGCGTTGTTACAAGCACTGCCTGCTCCCAGGCACCCTGCACTCCGATTTTCTAATCCTTATTTCACCTGTAATCTCTGTCTCCCCCTTTAAGCCAATAAATTCCATGAAAGCAGAGACCAAGTCTGTCCTGTTCACGCTGTGTTTTCAATGCCTACTGCAGAGCATCATATAAGGTAGTTGCAAAATAAACGTTGAATGAATGGACAAAGGAGCGAATGAAAGAAATATTAAACCAGAAGTAGCTTGGTATCCCTGATTTGTTGTATAAAAGGGGGAAAGTAAGTAAAATGCTGGGAGACAAGAAAAGTAAGGAAGGCTCAGATATGATAGATTTTGCTATTGATACAAAGGTTTTTTTTAATGAGTTCAATGGCAAGTCATTAAAATATCTTCTATATAAATCAATTTCTCTATCAGCAATATTTGTATAATTAATATTCTATGCAACCTCTTCTATTGGTATAGCTAATACAGATGTACCTTTATTTTCTAGAACATTGGCTTTTAAACTTTTTGAAAGCACCTTTTCAAAGAGGATCTTATCTTAAAATTCAATGTAAAAAAGAAAAGGGAGATCCACTCTTGAAGCAGAGGCAAGTAGGTAACGCAGGCAAAAACCTCTGCCTTCTCAACCCAAGCTGCCTGAGAGGGACAATAGATCAAAAGCTCCTGGTCCTGAACAGGCCAATATCTAAAGATAACTTCTTAAATGGAAGACTCTTTAACCACATATGTTTTAAAACTGTAACAGTAACTGATTCTTTTACTTGATGGTTAAATATAAAAATAGCTATAAAATCTGCCATCTGTCTCTCTTTCTATTAAGAGATTAAAACTTCTCACTTCTCTCTGATGACTAATGTTAGAAGGCACTGTAAATAATCATTAGCCATTTAAAAAGTATTTTATTCCAAAAAGTAGGTTAAATCACCTGAAAGAAGGTCTCACTTGTGTGATACAGTAAGTACTGGACAAAAGCAGAAGACTTGGGGACTAGTTCTAACGCTCCCCTTAACTGGCCATACGACCTTAGTTAAGCCATTTAATTAATGTCCTCTAATACCTCACTGACCTTGTTGATAAAATGAAGTGGTTGGAATTACTATTGGATTTCAAATTTTTATGGCCACATCTCAAAGTAAGAAATACATTTTAAATCTTGACCTTGTAGACATATAAAACTTGAAAATTTTCATGAAATGCTTACCTTTAGATTATGCTGTGAAGCCTAATATGTTCTATTCTTTTGTATTGCATTTCATTAATAAAATGTTAGTCATGACTCACTAAATGGATTTTCTCTCTCACAGTGTGACCCATAATTTGAAAAACACTAGACAGATAATCTCTGTGGCCCTTACTCCTCTAAAACTACGGAATTCTGACATTGAGATATGTGGCTGAGATCACAGAAATCTCCAGAATGTCAAGCACATGATAGGTGCTCAATCATCATTTAATTGTTTTTTACTGTATCAAGGAGAAATTATTTGAATATTTAAATTAAATTAAATAATTATAATTACTTAAAGTATTTAGAGCACCAATTCCTTCCATAAATCTTTCCTAATTCCTTTGAATTCTTATCATTCATCATCTGTGCCATTTTTATTATATTCTACTAAAAGATGATACACATAAACCATATAGTAAATGCTCAACAAAAACTAATATAAATCGAGCATTTATCAGACATTGCTATACGTATTCAAAGTACAGTAACTCATTCCTTTCTCACACTATATGGTTAAAGTACAGATGAGGAAACTGAGTCTTGGGAAGGTCAGTGAACCAAACACTGAGTGACAGAAGCAGGTACTCTGAATCCAGAGGCAGTGCCTCTATCCATCGAGTAACTGTGCTGGTCCCAATAACGGCTAGTGATGGATGTCCACTTTCTATTTTTATTACAGTGATATATATATCTGTATCACTGCATATATAATCCTGATATTAAAGAAGCAAAATATTTGCTAGAGATCATGTTTCCCCCTTTTATGTAACTCCTATATCATCATACTATATGCTAAGAACATGTTTTAAGTGAATGAAACATGGTGTGGGTGTGTGCACATCTGTATGTCCATTACATAAACACAAAATTTTGTAGGTAGACTTAGTTTTCTTTTTCATTCCATGCTTACTCTAACAGAACCTAAAATTGTAATTAATGTCCGAGGATTAACTCATTATTAATATGCATGAATAAGATGTCTATAAGACTACCCGGCATATTTATTATGATTCTTCTATATTGTACTAGCTGTAACAGTATGTGGGATTTGCTTGACTTGTCCTGGGGCTAACTATGTTGCAGTTTCATTAAGTGCTTATACTTATTTGGTCATGTAAATAGTGAAAATTTTATGGTTACATGAATTTAAAACATGACTAATAACCCCAATTTACTCAAATCACAAGGATTCTGTTTTTTCGTATTGACAGATGGGACATCTGCATAAGAGCTTTATTGAAAAATCTCTCTACTGTAAATGACTGATAATAGTCAGGCATGAAAAGCTGCACTCTCTCCCCTGCCACGTTTGTATGGTAAGTTGAGAGAGAATAAATAGATAATTGAACTAATGTCATGTTAAAATACTATTGTCATATCAAGTGGCCCTTTTAATTGCAGAAGTGGAGTTGTAATAAGAACTAAAGAATGAGAAACAACAGACAAAAATTAAAACAGCTAAATTAGAGGAAGCACCATAAATTAATCTTGAGACAAAGGAAACCTCCTAAACTTCTGGGCAGTTTATCATCTTTAAAATTCTCACTTGATTAATTATCAATAAATAATAATAGTAATAAATTAACAAAGTCACCATTTAAAATGAATCTGACACAGATAGCCTTTTAAAATAGAAATAGTCTACATAGTTTTGGGTTAATTGTGCCCCCTCAGGCATTTCCATATGTGTGTTTCTTATTCAACTACATACCAGGAGTACCAAACTGGATGCAATTTTCCAGAGTCCTGACATAGTCAGGATCACTAAATTTAATTACGTGAAGACTATTGGTTTTTTCCATGTTCTTGATCCATTTATTAGCCTGACCTTGAGGATCTATCATCAGAGGCCACCTTCTTGCATTCCTGAAAAGGAGAAGAAAGATGATGCTGATCAGGCTGTGATTTGTTTCTATGCTGTTTAATCACGTGCACATCACTTTCTTAAAATTTATCTCTCATGATGATATTTTACTTTCTAACTTATTATAAGAAATTATATTCTTAAAACAGAGACATTTAGATTGAATGGGCTATCTGAATGGCAACTACAAAAATCATCCTGCAAAGGTAACACAAGTTCTTTTACTCTTTTTGGAAAATTACAATCACTAAATGTTAACTTGTGCTTTAGAAAATACTTTGCTCCTCTTGCTAATTATGTCACAGTGACAACCATCAAGACGACTGGGTTGGAAATGAGGAAACTCCACCTCTTTACTAGGGCCTGCCATTAATTAATTATGTGACCTTGGGTAAATCACTTCATTTCCTTCCTCCGTCTCTATCTGCTATCACAACAGGGAATGAGAAAAGATTGGAACATTGCATCTCTCTCTCTGAAATCTAGACCGTTGAAGATATAATGATCTGAAAAAAAGGTGAAAAGCATAATTTTATATCATATAATCTTCATGATAGCCAAGGACACTTAAATGCTAACACAATTCTTGACCCAATCTTTGTTTCAAACACGTGTATATTTAGTATCATATATGTAGTCCATTACATATTTGCCTAGCGATTGTCAGCTTCTTATGGACAGGAATATACTATCTGAAGGTCAGAGCAGAGTTTTTGCACTATGGAAGAGCTCATACTTATTGCTTTATTCTTGCTCATATCATCCCTTTTATGGTAACAGCAAGAGCAGCTTCCCATGAGGAACACAGTTTATTTTCCAACGTGTGGTGGAGTCAGAGAAGAATTAACCAGTATCTGCCATCATCATGTGATATCCAACCACATAGCTTTCTGCCTTGTGTGAAATGTAATCAGCAATAAGATTACTATTCTTTTTCTTTCTCTTAGAAGTTTCGATAAACACAAGCCATAGTTCTTGGCGATTTTCTAAAGATACTGTCATGCCCTGCACAAGAGAGCAGAGCAAATTCACACAGAGCATCAGAAAAGCAGGAGGAGAAAATAAGAGGTTACTGAGGCAAAAAAAAAAAAAAAAAAACCCTCCAAAATGCAAAAAAAGGGGTGGGAATGGGACAGGATAATATATTAAATCTACTCTCATTATAACATGAATTTAGAATGTCACAATTTGTTCCCCAAAATAAAAGTAATCATATTCTTTTAGCAGTTACCAGTTAGAGCCTGATACAAAACAGGTAGCTTAAATGGTAAAGAAGATAGTCTTGTCCTCCAATATCAGCATTATATCATATGTTAGTCTACGTGGGCTGCCATAACAAAATACCACAGACCAGGTAGCTCAAGCAACAGCAATTTATTTTCTGGTGGTTCTGGAGCCTGAAAGTCCAAGACTAAGGTGTCAGTAGGTTTGCTTTCTCCACAGGCCTGTCTGCTTGGCTTGCAGACAGCTGCCTTCTCATTGTGTCTCTATATGGCCTTTTCTCCATGCAAGAGCTCCGAGTATCTCTCCCTCTTATAAGGACACTGGTCCTTACTGGATTGGGGCCCCACCCTTATGACTTCATTTAACCTAGTTACCTCCTGAAAGGACCTGTCTCCAGTCACATTGAAGGTTATGGCTTCAACATCTGAATTTGGTGGGGGGACAGGTGGAAGTACACAACTCAGTCCATAACATTAATTATGTATAGAAAGAAAAGAGATCAAAAGATTAATATAATATCTTAGATGCAATCAACTAATGAAATAGAAGCATATGCCCAAGAAACTAAAGGGAGAAGGGAAATTAGAAATAAAAAATCATAAATGTATAAAAGTTTTCACTCTGTCACATTTTGGAAATATTTGTTAAGTTTGGAGGATTATGTGTGAATGTCAAGCAGCACTTATGCTTCCCTAAAGAAATTATATGACTCACTCTTCTTTCTATTGCTTTCCCATCTTTTTTCAGGCATAATACCCATGTTCATGCTGTTTCTTTGTCCAAGATGCACCTCTTCCCCATCTTTTCACGTTCAAGTCCTACTCATGTTTCAAGGGCTCAAAAGCTACGTAGTCCACAAAGCCTTTCTTGGTCTCTTCTTTGACCTTCTTTAGCAATGCATCCATATTACATTTATGGTACTTTCATATAATGATAATATTCTATTATTGTAAATTCTATAATTCCTTAGCTACATCACCCAACTAAATTATATATTCCTTTGATGGAAGGGTCCATTCTAATTCTCTATTCTTGTTTTTCTAGATCAAATAAAGTTTGCATTCCATAATCTACTGATGTGGAAATAGCAAAAAGTATCTGGCAAACATCATACAAGTTAAATCATTCTAAAAACTGAAATTCTCTGAGAGGTTATCGCTGTGTAGAAAATACTAATATTTATTCAAAGAAAAGCACTTCAAAATCATAGGAAAGAACTTCTGATACTGATCAAAGTTAAGCCTATTATAGGCTATCTCTTCCACTGATTACACCTAAAAATCTTGGACAAAAGTATAAAAAGCAACTACTTGCACATTCTAAAAAGTAAATAATAACAAGTGCATGAGGGAAAAGTTAAAACTTGAAGAATGACCTGCAAGGGATAGTGAGATTCCTGAGGTTTTTTTTCTTTCTTTTTATCTTCTGGTTTAATGGGGGAACTGTGAAGCAGGCACAGGCAGCACAAACTCAAACTTAAGCACTGAGAAAATGACCATACATGAGCCAGAAAGTGTGGGGGTGAGTCCATGTTTTCATTTTGTTTTTTGTTTTTTCTCTCTTTTTTCTCTTCTCCCTCTACCCCAAGGTTAACCCCACTCAGAGAACTGTATTCCTATGGTGGAAGCAGCAGTGGGGCAGTTACCTAAAACACTAATCGAAAACCCACCTCTCTGTATAGAAGAACTAGGAAAAGAGCCTCTGTTGTGCACAGAACGTAAGGAGAATCCAAGTATTTTTCTCTCTTTTCTCTTGCCACTTTGCCCCAAGTGTTGGCATGAAATTGTGCAATAGCATGGGGATATAAAACTCTAAGAGAACTCCACCATTTTGGCCAGAAAAAAATATAGGCAAAGGTGCCTATGGAATATGGAAAGTGTAGGGGAAATTCTGATGAGGAAAGACCTGAAGACAGGACTCCCTAGTTCTCTGAATGAACAGATACAAGCTCTGGGCTCCCTACCCAAATTAGGCTTTGAACAATGACACAAACCCAAGTCCCAGACTAACCCCTGAGTAATGCATGCTTTCTGGAGCAGATCCAGACAGCATAGCAAAGCCTTTCAAATCTGAACTGGCAATGGAAACATCACCCACAGATGGAAAGACAGAAATTGTGGTCAAAACTGAATTGAGTCATTTAACTGCTAAAGCGAAAATCACTCTTATTCAGAGGATTTTAATAGGATCCCAGAGTCTCATATTCAAAATCTGCAGAATAACATCCAAATTTACTCAACATTCACAGAACAGAATGTGGCTATTCCTCAAAGAATAAAGATGTCAAGATTATCAGAAAAAAACTTTAAAGTAGATGTTACAACCATCCTCCCATGAGATAAAGGTAACCATTTTTGAAATAAATCTTGAAATGGAAAGATGTTCTCAGCCAAAAAAAAAGGTGGGGGGGGAATAAAAAGAATTTTAGAACTGAAAAATGTAACATCTGAAATAAAAATTCCACTGTATGGGCTCAATAGCAAAAAGGAGATGAGAGAGGAGAGAGTCAGTGAACCTAAAGACAGATGAATACAAATGGTCCAGTTTGTACAGCAAAGGGGTAAAAAGATTGTGGAAAAAATGAACAGAGCCTCAGAGACCTGTAGAATAATAAATACTAAAATGTTTTAACTTTCGTGTCATCAGAGTCTCAGAAGGAGAGGAGAAAGAGATTGATGCATAAAACATATTTGAAAAAATAATGGCTAAAACTTTCCCAAATGCAGTAAAACACAGAACACTCAGCAACCTTCAAAAAGAAGAAACTCAAAAAAACCCACACCCAGATACATGATAATAAAACTTCTGGGCTGGGTGCAGTGGCTCACACGTATAATCCTAGCACTTTGGGAGATCAACGTGGGAGGATCGCTGGAGCCCAGGAGTTCAAGACCAGTGTGGGCATTAGTGAGACCCCATCTCTACAAAAAATAATAAAAAGAACTTAGCCAGGCATGATGGCATGTGATTATAGTCCCAGCTACTCAGGAGGCTGAAAAAGGAGGATTGCTTGAGCCCAGAAGTTTGAGGTTGCAGTGAGCTATGATGGCTCCAATGCACTCCAGCCAGGGAGGGTGACAGAGTGAGACCCTGTCTCCAAAACAAACAAACAAAAAAAACTTCTAGGCCGGAGCGTGGTGGCTCACGCCTGTAATCCTAGCACTCTGGGAGGCCGAGGCGGGCGGATTGTTTGAGCTCAGGAGTTCGAGACTAGCGTGAGCAAGAGCGAGACCCCGTCTCTACTAAAAATAGAAAAAATTAGCCGGGCATGGTGGCACATGCCTGTAGTCCCAGCTACTCGGGAGGCTGAGGCAGGAGGATCACTTGAGCCCAGGAGTTTGAGGTTGCTGTGAGCTAGGCTAACGCCACGGCACTCACTCTAGCCAGGCCAACAGAGTGAGACTCTGTCTCAAAAAAAAAAAAAAAAAAAAAAAAACTTCTAAAAACCAAATATTTTAAAAAATAATTTTGAGAGCAGCCAGAGAAAAATGATAGATTATTTCCAAATGATAATTATTCAAAATACTGAAGATTTCTCATCAGAAATCATGAAGCCAGAAAACAGTAGAACATTTTTAAAGCGCTAAAAGAAAAGAACTATCATATATATATGCAGACATCTATATCAACCAAAAATATCCTCAGGAATAAAGGTAACATAAAGAAATTCTCAAATGAAGGAAACTAAGAATATTTGCCAACAGACCCGCTCTAAACAAATGCTAAAATTCTGCAACCTGAAGGGAAGTGATATCACAAAGAAACTTGAAATTTTAGA